CGATGCCGACTACGATGCCAGCGAAACGTCTGGGAATGTACCACGTCCACGGTCCTACTCTGGAAATGATCATGCATACAATGGATCCGGACTTGGTGCGTTTCTCTAAGTCTTCCTACCAATATGACCAAGTTGAGAAAACAAGATCAAACAACTTCTATACAACGAAAAGGAGACTGCGACCAGACAAAAGGCCACCATATCTTGCTCTTCATACCTTCAATATTTTTTATTGTTTTTAATATTTTAGTCTTATATATAAAGGCCCTGAGCTCTCTTCGCACTCTAATGGTCACATTAAAATTCTTAGCTACATTTTTTTCTGTTTTTACTTCGACTCATTTAGAATTTTCTTGCTTCTCCTCTTGTATCTTTTGGTTTTTATCCCTATTCAGACAAACAATCATTCCCTCTTCCTGTCATGCATCCCCCTTAGATATATCTTCTACGCTGTCATCATATGCTGCTTCTAAACTTATTGCCCCCGACGGCCCCGACACCAATGATTTACAATCGTGTTATAGTCGAGCCACTGAACAACCTCAAACCTCTGGAGACCCAGGCTCTTCACAGGCACTCAGCCCTATGTCTCCAACTCAGTCTAACACTTATTCACCTGCTTTGGCTGAGTCTGTTTCTAGTCCTTTAGCTGGTGGCCCCTTCCTTGACTCGAACCTCGCTGCATCAGCTACTTCAGCCTGCCTATTTGTTGAAAATGCTAACCGGGCCGAGTTAGATCTGGCGCCAGAGTCGCTGCGTGATTCTGGTATGCTGCCAAGGACATCCTGGTTACACGAAGACTGCGGGTAAATTGCTGATAGATTCTGCCCAGTATTGACCCAAATTCTTTCAATCGCTTACATACTCAGGTATATTGTTCTTACACGTTCTGAACTACACGCAATTCTGTCTTATTACCATTGGATGGATGACGACTAAACCTATTCCGGACCCAAACTTGTTGGCATATATGTCTTTAGGACTGCGTGAAGGCCTGTTCGACCGTTTGTTTATTCTCACAAGTATTTATGCTTATATATATCTCCGTGACTACTGTGCTTGAAGTCAATTTCTAAAGGTATCTAAAACATCTTGATTTTGATAGCCTTAGAAGCATTTAAGATATTTCAACTTCATCAGATGACCAAAAATCGAGGACCTAGGTTGCAGGGATTATTTGGTTTTCGGATCCAGCTAATGTGAAAGCATATTGTATAGAAAGGCTTGCGAAGCTGGCTGTATGATTTCCCCTCTGGAAGCAGTCACATAAATCAAAATACAAGAGTAAATGTGGCAGTCTATGAAAAAATGGAACTTTTATTCGATTTAAATTAGAATCCTCAATATATACGAATATGGATGTTCGCGTAATATTTGAAAGACTTTTGCGGAGACTTTCATTTCATATGAAAGATAATAAGGAAGAGATTCTAAAGTCGGTCACTGCAGGAGACAACGGCTGATCCCTGTTTTATTTTATCTGTTTGGCTTTAATACGATGTTCATGTTGACGCAATCCATGAGATCCTACCTCCTTTCGGGTAAAAACGGAGCAAGCCTTTTTCCATCATATGATGGAGATCATTAGAGCTGAAACTTATTCTTGTAAAAGTCTCAAGTTTACACTATGTCAAGAGGACTGTTCGGCTAAATCTTGTCTTATATATTCTCATGACTAAAAGCGAAAATGTATAGACATAACTAGATATGGAATAGTTTGGCTTATTATCTTTAATGTTGGTGATGCTACTTTTACTTGATTGTGTGTGTGTGTGTGTGTGTCTTTACGTCTATACGCGATACCTGTCCTAAATCGGAGTGATTTAAAAAAGCCTAACATCAGGCTCGGGTCATCAAAGATTAGTGATTCTAGAAAAAACTCTGATTGGAACTGCTTAAGTCCGTAAGCAATACTGGTTGTAAGCTTGTAAATCTGTAAATCAGGCCATTAAACCATCTGTCCTCACCTCTCAGTCTAGGGTCATTGAGGTTTATCGACTCAATAACTGGAATTGCGTATTATCGTACTTCTGGTTTGCTTGATGAGCTTAACCTACCTGTTGGACGAGTGTGAGTGAAGTTCGAATCATCACTGGATGAGTTGCCTTCTTTTGGATGGTAGCTCAACGCCCTCTTCTTTAATCTATCATTCAAACATGAGTAGTTCTTACCACCATTCCCCATATTCAAAGTATTACCTAGTTTATCAACTTAAATAGCTTCTTATAGCACTCTGAACTAGTTGTTTCTATTATTGATGCAGAAAGGCTCTAAAACTTAGCATTTACTGGCTTCGAGAATGCACCGTGGCGACCAAGATATTCATTTCCATTTAGGCGGGCTGCTGATACAGCTGGATAGTAGGATAATGTAAATACGCTTGAGATCAACCATCAATCTGCGCATTTATTGCTTTTATCAAGTCGCTCTGATGAGGAAGGGATTTAGCGGCTATGAAAAACTTATCCTATTTGTCTGATGCAAATGTAAGTTATGTAGTTTCGAAAGCCCAATTATAATCGGAAAACAAGTAACGTAGTCGATTGTTATAGCATATACAACTTTGCCTCATTGACAATCCCACTACAGAATACAATATGGGAAAATTCCTGGCCTTCTTTCCTGTTACCCAAGGGCACCCGTGGTAGTGTGCCATAGTGTTTAACATGTTGAGATCATATGCTTAAGTGTCATTGTTCGAATCCCGCTGGGGCGTTGATAGGACCTAAGTGGGGTTGAAACCATAGTCAACCCTGGATAAAAATAACTTTTGGTAAAGCAAGGCTATGTTAAATTAGATGGAAACGTCATGTGAACTCATATCATTGTAGTTAAATTCAAATATCTTGGATGAATACATATCATATGTAAGCACAAAGAGTTGTAAAATAGGGCTTGAATTGAGAGTAATAAAGCAAAAAATGTAAGGTCAAATTCTTAGAATGACATGCTGCGTTTTAATTTGTAAATTTGGTCTCAATCGAGCTGCTTTTGCTTTTCTTAGTACCATGCTAATTTTAATATATCTTAGTATGGCTCATTTTCATTAAGATGACGATTACGGACTCAGCAAAACGCTCCTCACAGTTTTGCTGACTGATATCTAATAGTCATAGGCGTCTTTTGTTAACTTTTTTTCTTAGGCTTATACATTTTTTTATCAAAATTGCGTATCTATTCCTCCATTCTTATGCTCATCACTTTTAGTCTACGTTAGTCCTTTGTCTAATAAAAATTGCCTTTTGGTTACTCCCACTTCCTGTTCTGAACTCTTGTGTTCCTTGGATTATCTAACCATATTTGCTCTTCCTCTTTTGATTCCCCCGGCTATTCAATTACCAAATTTCTTCGCATATATTGCAATTCCTAAGTGTAGCGTTTTTCTTCTCTCTTCTCTTTCAATATTTTATCCGATTTGCTGGATGCCTTTACTCTGGGCGTTACCGTGGCTTCTCGCCTATTGCGCATGCTGCTGAAATGCTTCTTTGCTTCTAAATATTCACAGCAACTCCAACACGCCTATATTCAGTTTGCTGCCGCTGCTCTTAGAGATTACCCTTATTTGTGTTTTGTAATTTCCATTAACCTCGTCAGATTTTTTACCTGATTCAGACTGTTGCTTATTCAGTTTATCGTGTCATTCTCATGGATGCTTACTATCCCGAGCATAAATACAACACACGATCGCCTCGTGAAACCATCACACTTACGCCTGATTCATCAACCCGCATCAAGTGGTCCGAAGTCTCCATCGACCAGTGGTCGCCCACTGTATCCTCTTTCCGACCGCCTAAAAAGCGTCACTCTCGGCAATCTAAGACTATCTCTGCCTTCGTTGAACCAAAAGCTAAACCAAAATCCTTGGCTTCAGATACACTGAGTTTCATAGCTTCCACTGAAGCCCCCACTTCGACTTCAAGCTCTCTCGCATGTCACTCTTGTCGC